TAACCAGGCAGGGGTGGACAGACTGAGAGAGAGTGGGATCAGACCACGCCTCCCAGGAACTCCCACCTTCGTCGTCATCCCGTTCGTGGTGGCAGCAGACGCCTGAAGTATTGTCTGCAGCCAGGCACCGCGTGCCGCCCTCCCTCCTTCTGCCTGGAGGACGGACAGTCTGGCTGGTGGCAGTCTGACATCTGCAGTTCTCAAGTCACGCATCCCTCTGCCTCCAAAGAGTGACCAGGCAACCACGAGGATCCCACTGCACCCGCCTACCCTGCCAAACAGCTTGGACTAGCGCGCGAGCTCCCACAGTACATCTATTAGGCTTGGCAGCAGGGATTTTAAAACCACAGTTCACAAAGCCCTAAGTTCTCTGGAGGTCTGAAGGGACAGTCAGCAGCTCCTCACCTCTACCCAGCATCCACAGGAACTCGTCCATATGTCAGGTCCCTCACAGTCTGACGTGGAGTAGCTGAGTCACTGATACTCGAGGAAGTGAGAGAAAAGTCCCAAGAGGAGACCTGGGCCTCACGAGACAGGACCCTTCCACTTAGGGCGGACTCCTTCTCTGAATGTCCCTAACACGCCCTGTCCATGTCCCTCCCTAGGAATCTCCTCGTTTACATCCTCACCCTCTCTCTGAACTTCACCCTGGCCCTGCTCACTGGAAACTCAGACCAAGGCTGGTGAACCGGCGACTCGGGTGTTACTGTTTGCCTGCCTGATTGCAAACCTGTTTCCACAGCTCTCCAGCGACCTGCAACTGTGGGGGTAATAGGGGTCTATCTTGAGATAACCCCATAAGTGCTCAGAGTACTTTATGTCACTCCGTACTGCATCCTGAGCCCAGCCACACACGGCTACTTACAGGTGAAAAGCCAGGCTATCTGACTCCACCTCAAGCCACGTTCCTCATCACCCCACCTGTATGGGGGTCACTGCCTAGGTCCCTACTGGCCACCGCTGCCCACCCTTCCACAACCTGTTACCTGTCTTGAGACACCCAGTCCAGTCCAGGCTTCTATGTCTCTTTTTCCTTCCTTGGTGCCCCAGGTTAAACAAGGGGTCAGTTATGTGACCGGAAGCTGATCTCAGCCAGGCCACACAAGCACAGCTGTCTACACAGACTGGCTTCCCAGTGCCACCTCCTCCCAGGCCTCAGGTCTCACTTGTAAATTAGGTAACCAGGTAGCTGGAGAGGCAGCCCTGCTCTCCCAGAGAAGCTGGGTGCTGGGCGAGGCAGGAAGCAGCTGTATTTTTCTTTCCTGGAGCTGTCAATGCCAAATACAGGTGATCAACCACAGAGGGACCAAAAAGCCCCACTGAGCTTTTTCTATTCTCAGGGCAGAGGACTCTGTCCCGCCCCTCAGGGGAAACTCTCAGAACATGGAAGGTAAAGGCGGGAGGATGTGTCTAGCCTGAAAGCAAGCTCTCTGTCTCTTCCTTTTGCTGTCTGCCTTTCTGTGTGTACCTGTGTTGAGACAGGGTCTCATGTAGCCCAGGCTGGTCTCACACTTGTTATAGAGTCAAGGATGACCTTGACACTCTTCTGTCCTCCAGCCTTTCATTCCCAAGTGCTAGGCTGGACCAAAGACTCTGTGCAGGGGGGCCGAGGAGGACGAATCCAGGGCAAGAACCTGTGCTGCCCCTTTCAAAGTAGCCCAGTGCCCACAGCTGCACAGTGGAGCGTGGAACTGAAGCTTTCCTTCCACTGGAGAACTGAGATCTGTGTGGCTGACCACAGGTGAGACTTTGGAAGCCTAGAGGAGATCCCCTAAACAGCCTAGGAGTCCCATTTTGGCCTGGCCACATCCCTCATCCTCTGTGGTGGACTTGGAAGGCAGGTGAGCAGTGCTCTGAGCACTCACATTGCAGAAGGGGCCCACCGGGCTTTAGCCAGCCTTTGCACACAACACTCCACTCAGTGGTTTCCCTCCCCACACAACTCAGTATGGCCTCGACCTCCCTGAGGCCGTCTCCAAGCCCAGCCCGCTCAAAGGCCCTGGACTTCCAGTTCACCCTCCCAGCAGGCTATAACCACCAAGTCCTGCCCCCACCTCCCCCCAAAAAACACACTTGATACTCGGCAAACATCAGTGCAGTAAATATCCTGCAAACCAATGAACAAACAGGATGCCCACAGGCGGCCCCTCCCTTCTGTGTGTAAGCATCTCTAACCGCCAGGTGACACGGATGGGCGTATACTGGCCCAGCTGCCCATAGCCCCTCAGCGGGAAGGAGATGCCAAGCCAAAATACCAAGACATGCCCGGTAGATGAGGGGCCTTCCCACCTCTGTAGCGAGAGGCCGGGTAGAGCTAGGGAGAGGTGCCGGGTTGAGCTTTCAAAACAGAAGAGGCCAGAGAGGAACTAAACAGTGTTGAGAGGAAGTGAGAGCAGCTGGAGGAAGGTGAACTTACTTAGCGCCTGTGAGATTCTGTGGTAGCTTGTATCCTCTGACCCTCACTGAACTACATACCACTTGAACTCATCACAGGCATCTTCAGGAACCCAGAGGCCAGTGGGGGATGGATCTGACAGGGGTCCCTGCCCCTCAACTCCCAGCTATCCGCCAGCCACACAGCCTCCCAAGCCCAAAAAGGTGGCCCTGTCTCGGCAGCAGTAGGAAACAAGAGATCAGGCAAATTCAAGAGTCATGCCAAGGCCAGCTCTGCCAGGAATTGGAATAAAAAGTGGGGTGCTCCCTGCACAAGTAACTCTCCAGCACAGCTTCAGGGGGCACCTTGAGGTTGAAGTTGGGTAGTAGTGTAAGACTGGGTACCTCTCAGTTTCCTGAGGCCAAGGCCAGAGGGAATGGGGGCTGAAAGGGTCAAAATAAACATTCCGGACTACCCAACGCCCCCCCAGTGGTGGTGGGGAAGCTCGGCTCTCTGAGGCATCCTGAAAGGACCTAGACTCAGCCTGGCCCTTCTCCATCCCCACCACTAAGTGATCCTAGGCAGGCAACCTACCAAATGAGCCTCAGAGTTCCTGTCTGTATGGTAAAATCAGCCACCCTCTCTTCTCTCAAGAACTAAACGGGATGTCAACCAGGGAGCCTGCCGCACAAGCTCCTGAGACTCCTGCTATGCCTAGCCTCACCCCGTGCCTGGTAGGACACTTGACCCCTCTCCCTCTCTGGCAACCAAGGGTCACTACAATGATGGACCCATCTGGACATCTCCTACTCTACCCCCATTGCTCATGGCATGTCACACCCAGAATGAAACGTAGGCTGGTCTGGGTGTCCACAGGCCCCTGCTGAGACGGCCTCTCATGTCTTCACTAAGTTCACCTTCCTCCTCCCTACCTTTCCTCCCCAGGCTGAGCCTCACCCTGGAGTCCTCACACTGGCTGTCCCTGCCTCCTGGAGCACACTTCCTTCAGATCTCTGCGTGCTGGCTGCCTCTTTCTGATATCACTGCCCAAGGCCGCTGCCTTCTTTTTAAGATTTGTTTATTATATACACAGTGTTTTGCCTGCATATACACCTGCCTGAGGCAACCAATGGTGGTGAGCCACCATATGGTTGCTGGGAATTGAACTCAGGATCTCTGGAATAGCAGCCAGTGCTCTTAACTTCCAAGCCATCTCTCCAGCCTCAGCCCAAGGCCTTCTTGACCCCTGGCCCCAACCTCCCCTCTCCCCCCTCTTCAGGTCTCAACCCGGCAGCTCATCCTGTTGCTGGCCCTTGTTTATGTCTCCCTGCCCTCAGGAATGTCGACCACAGGAGCAAAGGGTTACTTTCTCTCCCCACCCCCACGACACAGCTTGGCTGAAAGACTTTGGAACCAAACAATGCACAGGCCCAAGGAAACTGTAGAGAAAGGGCTCACATAGACAGTGACGAGCTCTGTCTGGCTCAGGGGTGCCCAGCGGATGCACCCAGACACTAAGTACTCATACTTGTTGGGACACCCTCCCTGACTTCAGTGCCAAGAAAATCCCATTCCCTTCCCCCTTCCCCAGAAAGTCCCCTCAACCCCCTCTGCTGAGATCAACGGTCTTGTCCCAGCAGTACCAGCCCCTCCCACCTCCCACCCAGGCTCCAGCCTTCCAGGAACAATGTACAAAGGTCCACTTTAGCTCTATCTCCAGCCCAGAGGGCTGGAGGAGGGAGGGGGTGCTCCCTCCCCCTCCCCCATCCTCTCAGGACCTCCCTGCTGATGGAGTCAAGCCCCTCGAAAGGCAGCTTTGTTCCTAACGTTGTCCTTGTGATATGGGGGTGAGGGGCAACCCACAGAGTGAGGGACAGGTGTTACAGCAGGCACCCAGGAGGTGAGCATGGCCGCTGGTTACACAGCATCGCTCCAGGAGGCCGGCTTAGCTTCTGCAGGCAAGCCAAGGTGTACTCCAGATGGATTACTCTGACAAGCAAGCTGCTAACCTATGACCCAAGCCTGGCACCAAAGGAGGCGTTGGCAACTTCTTTATGCCTGCTATTCTTTTTTCTGGGCCACTCAGTGATGACTAGCCAAGCATCCACACCCAGTGGGTCCCTAAGAGCCTCCCTCTGTCCTTCCATTCAACAACCCCCTTGAATATCATCCCTCCTCTGTCCTGTGGCCTACAGAGAATCAAAACAGAACAAAACAAAACCAAACCTTCCCCCCCGACCCTGGCTGCCAGATTCCTCCAGCATCCCTCAGTCTCTACCTGTTACAGGGTCCTCCTGGCTGGGCAGACCCCGGCCCAGGGGCTGGCTCTTCCCCAAGCTGTTCTTCCCTATATAAACCAGCCATTTGGGTTATAAATCCCTTTTTATGGCCTTCTGGCTTCTTGGCTGTGGCTCCAGGTCCCTCTCACTTCTTCTTCCCCCTACTCCTTCACCCCCTAATCCCCACCCACAAGTAGCCCAGGTCAGTCTGCTGGTCCTGCTCACTCTAGGCCCTTCCAGATGCCTCTGGCAATGGTTTCCCTCATATCTACAATAAACCTTCTTCCCCACCATGCCTAGGAGCTGTCATGCCCCCCTTTTGTTTTATTTTTCATGCAAGCACTTACCAAGATGATGGTACAGCCTCTCTGAGGAACTTCTAATCATGTCTCCAGGAACCAGCCAGGCTGGCAGTAATCTAGACCCCATGGGTCAGCAATCGGTACTCGTGCAGCCTTCCTGAGGGAGCCCCAGTCAGGTTCTCAGGACCCAGACTACTGTTCTCTTTCTTGGACCCAGTGGCCCCTGAATAATGTTCACACACAAGGATAAAGTCCAAGCATGCCGGGAGGCTGCAAGTTCCCCAGCAATCTCTCTCCGCACACCTGTCCCGTAGCTTTGGCTACCTGCTAGAGCTGAGGCTTCTAGCCTGCCCTGCTGTCGGATGACTCAGGCTCAAGGACAAGCTAACACAGAAGTAATAAACCGTGGTCTGCTGAGTGACTAACTGGCCCTCTTTGAGGCCACACCTGAAACTTTCAGCAGAACCGCTGGCCTCTCGGGTCTGGTCTGCAACTCAGGAAAATGATCAAGGTCCTAGAGTCGCCTGTCACATCACCTCAAAGCTCCCGAGCCCCTGGAGAAGTGGCTTCCCTGTGGTCCTCTTCCAGATGGAGGGACAGAGGTGCAGAGAGGAGACAAAGGAAATAAGGAAATGAGTTCAGCCTTCAGTGTAGAGAGTGAGACACCCAGGGCTGGGAGGAGCATGGGTGTGGAGGATACAAAGAAAACCAAGAATTTCCTTTTTCTTTCTTTCTTGTTTGTTTGTATGTTTGCGTCAAGACAGGGTTTCTCTGTGTAGCCCTGGCTGTCCTGGAATTTGTTCTGTAGACTAGGCTAGCCTTGAACTCAAGAGACCCTAGCAAGTGCTGAGATTAAAGGCGTGCACCACTATTGCCAGGCTAAGGAATTTTTAAGAGAAAAGATATTTAATGTGTTTTTTTCACCTAGGAGGCTGGGAGTGGAGGTGATTAATAACCTGGTGATTTGTGCTTTCTGTAGGACGAGGCCATATCGCACACAAGCAGGACTAGAGGTGGCCAGTAGGAAAGGGATTTTCTTTTTGCCTCTCACAGATCATTCCTCTTGACTGTTATAATAACCGCAGTGACCCCCCCCCCCCGCACATGGGGATAACAAATGTAGGGAGCGAGGAATGGCTGGAACAAGAGACTTAGAACCCTCCTCAGCCCTCACCATGTCCACAGTGTTGTTCCCACTGTGTGAAAGAATGAACACGAACTGGGAGGAGGCAGAGGATGACCCTGCAGTGCTCCCCTGGATCTACGGACTCACAATGAACATGGCCCCGGCAGAGCAGGTGAGGGCTCTTGGGTCTGGGTGTCAGTAGGTTCTGAGCTTCTTGCAGCCTGCTGGCAAACACTCTGTGCCGGTCATCTGCTCTGCTCTCTGCCCGGGGCTCTCCCGAGACGCAGGCTTGAGTCCACTAACTACTTTCCCATGCTGTCAGAGCCTGCCACGATGACAGGGCATTAGGGTGACTCAATATTATGGGAGGGTATTTCTGAGTATTGGCAAGGACAAAGGGGGCAGTTGTACCATAGCAAAGACAGGCTGGACCCTTCTACCATAGGAGCCTTCCCTTGGGTCAGGATCTAACGGTCTCCATTTGGGACACAGGAGGCCAGCCCTCAGAGCTTTGGTGGCTGAGCCCACTATTCACAGCCTCCATGAGACCACCACCCAGCTAACTCTTGGCCTTCATGAGACCTTCCTCACCTGGTCAATAACTTAACTCTCTCACCTAGAAGATCCAGTAAGTGCTGACAGGCAGGCATATAAGGGCTTACATAGCCCAGTAACTCTGAGAGTTGGAGGCAGGAGGATCAGGAGTCTGGAGTCATCTTCCTACGTCAGGTTCAAGGCCAGCCTGGGCTACATTAGAGCCTGTCTCAAAAGAAGAGAAGGAGGAACAGAGGGAGGAGGAGAAGGAGAAAAGTGTGGCCTTGTACCACATACACTTAAGACTAGGACTAGGAAAATCTTATTAGGGAAGCCACCGCCACAGGGAAGCTACCCACAGGTGCTGGCACCAGAACCGGACGGAGGGAGGGGTTAAGTGTCATCAGGGAACTTTTCTTCTCTCTTGCCTTTCGAAGACTAAACTTCATTTTCCTGCTTTAATGGCTTCTTATCTGTTTTTGGAAAGCAGCAAATGAAAGAGAGCAGCATGGCCACTCTCCTGCTCCGCTGGGTCCTTCAGGCCTGGGTTCTCACAGGCCCTCCCTTTCCCCCTGTGCCTTTTTTTTCTGGAATAAACCATCTCCATAGATCTCCTGCCAGCTTTGGGGCAACACGCGTTTTTCTCTACCAGGCTTTTTCCCGCGCACTAGAGGACCAGAGCTCAGAGCTCTGAGAACTCCATTCTCCTCACTCTTCTTTCACCCTAGACCTGACCCAGATCCCTGGCTTGGGGACAGGGGCAGTATGAGTAGTATGGTGGTACAGAGATCCCTGGGCTATCACAGACCATCAGCACCCTTGGCCTCTTCTTGTGGACCGCTGAGTAAGTCCTGAGTGCCACAGACCTCAACGTTCCTCCTACGAAATGGGCAGTTTTTTCCTGGCAATGAGGCCTGGAGGTCCCTAGCTCAGCCCCTTCTCTTGGCTGAGATGACAATCACCTGGATTCAGCTTTGCTTTTCCTATACTTCCAGGAGCTAAGCCGGGAAGTCTGTCTATCACTCTTTTCCTTTGCCACAGAGACACAAGGAACCAGTGAGCCTTGTTGCTGGCCCTCTAACCTCCAGTTCTGGCCAATTCTCCTCCCCTCCTTCCTCCTCTTCCTCTTTTTTCTTTCTTTCTGTTTTTGTTTTGTTTGTTTGCTTGCTTGCTTGGTTTTGGTTTTTTCAAGACAGGGTTTCTCTGTGTAGCCTTGGCTGTCCTGGACTTGCTTTGTAGACCAGGCTGCCCTCAAATTCCCATAGATCCACCTGCCTCTGCCTCCTCAAGTGCTGGGATTAAGGTCGTTCACTACCACACCTGGCCAAATTCTCATTCTTACTCAAACCTCCACTACAGCCTCTGAGACTGCAGCTATCTTTGCCAACAAAGGGCAGATTCAAGCATCCAGGCACCAAAGACCCACGTCCTCAAAGACCTGATCTTCTGGGAGTCCTCCAAAGCTCTAACACCTCTGAGATAGTTCCTGGTTGGCATCCGGAGTTCTTTGAAAGCTTTGAGCTATACATTCTCAGAAGTGAATTCACTCCTGGCTGGCATCCTGCTGAGAATAAAAACCTGTTTCATTTCAGTTCTGCGTTGTTTTATTATTGCCTGGCCACTCTATATTCTTTTGAGAAGGGTGGGGCAAAGTCTTAGGTGGAAACAGGAGACAACACCACAACCCTCCTTACTGGGCATGCTCAGAAAGGCACCTTCTAGATCTTTTACCCATGCCAGGCAAGTCATATTCTTTCCGGAAACGGCACTCATTTGCTGTCCCTGCAGTAACATTAATAAATGTTTAAAGAATATTTATTGAATGCCTTCTGCCTGCGAGGCCCAGGGCCATCCCTTCCCATCATCTCTTTGGCAGTTTGGCCTTGTGGCCCCTTTTCTTGTGGCCATTACCGTCGGACTGCCATGATACTCTGACCATCAGGATCTTCCCGGTGTACATCTATCCGCCCAGACCAAAATCAGCCTCCAGAAGAAGCAAGAAGGTCCAGAAATAGCATGTTGAGTGAAGGACAAACTGGTTAGTAACAGGGACCAAGAACAAGCAAGAAGGCCAGAGGGAGTATAAGGAAGCCTGGACTTCACGGAGCCAGACAGTGGTTCTTGGGAGCCCAAAGACCCCGCAATCTTCAGGATCGCATTTTTAAAGCTGTGTGGGCCGGGAAGGTAGCTTGATGGTACGACAGCTGCCTAGCAAACCCAGGGCCCTGAGTTCTATCCCTAGGAACAAAAATTTAAAACAGGGCCAGCAAGACAGTTCAGTGGGTAGAGGCACCTGCTGAGCAGTCTGGCAACCTGAGTGACAGCCCCTTCACAGAGTGGAAAGAGAGAACACTTTTGTTTGTTTGCTTTTGAGAAAGGCTCTTACTATGCAGTCTTGGCTAGCCTGAAACTTGCCATGTAGGGCAGGCTGGCCTGGAGCTCCCCGAGATCTACACGCCTCTGCCTTCTAAGTACTGGGACTAAACACTTTTACCATTACAGTCGTGTAGGTTCCTAGCTCTGCCACAGAGGGGCTCTAAGGCACAGCCAGGTAGGGCCTGGGAAGTACACCCCCACACTGGCAGGTGAGACCAGATGCAAACAGGGGACATTTATAAGAAAAGCAAGTGCCACAGGGAGGGTAGCCCAGAGGTTCTGCATCTCACTGCTTTGGGGAAGGTCCGTGCAGGCCCTTGGATAGCCACAGAGAGAGAAAGGCCAGGTCTGGAAGAACAAGAGGGAGCTGGACAAATAGTCCCTACAAGTGGAATGCAACTCTGATCCTACCACTTCCTGGCTGAGAGCCTCCATTCCAGGCATCCCATACTACCCCATGGGACTGACACTCTCAGGCCTATGCTCAGGCGCTTTGACCGCTGTCACAACGAGCACACAGCTGAAGCCTCTGGCCCTCGGGCAGTGAGTTAAGTACCCAATGAACAGGAACAAGTCATTAACTGGGAGGTGCAGATGGGGTAGGGTGCCAACCCATCATGAGGTCTCTACCAGCCAGACACCCTAAGTCCACAATGCCCATTTAGACCTGTCAGTTCTGGGCTACTGCTTTGGGAAGGTTCCTAGCTGGGAGGGACAGGACAGGCAGTCCAGGCCTTTTCCCTCACGAGGATTCCACTTTAGTGGAAACCAAAGTTTTGTGACATTTAACCCTCTAGATTCATAAAGCAACTGAGGAATAAGGCATGTGAATGGTCTCTCATCTTCAAGTTTACGTCTGTAGAAAAGATTCAAATACATCAGACAACAGAGGCATTTCCACTATGAGGCAGCACAAGCAAAATTATTTTAGGAGCCTGTTAACAGTGTAGATATGCACAAGGCTATGGTCCCTGGTCTACCCCACACTAGACCATGGGAGACGTCATAGATGATTAAATCCTACCCTGTCTCTTTCTGAAAGGTAGGGACAGTAACTCCTACCAAACAGGGTACCTGTGACCATCTCTCTGTATTGTGAAGCTGCCCTCTGGAGGGAGGGTCAGTTTTCTCCATCATGAATGGAGAAGGGAGAGAAAAGCTCAGAACATTGGGGGCTGGGCTGATAACCATTCATTTGTGTATTCGTCTCTTCATTCACAGTTACCACATTTTCCAAAGGCCTTCTCCGTATGTCTATCACTGACTGATTGCTGAAAACACATCAACAACAAACACAGCAGGGCTGCGGGGATGGC